ATGGCTGCCTTCTGGGAGCCTACTGGGGAGACTCCATGTCGAGAAGGCCTCAGGAAGGTGGCAGGACTAGGGCTGGACCCGGAGGAGGGCCCTGCAGGCAGAGGGAGTCTTTCAGTGAAGGCTGGTCTTAGAACAAGCACAGCAGGTTGTAGGAGCTGGGTCAGCACCTGAGGACACTCCCTTGCATGGCCCTTCCCAAACTGGGGCCCTTTTACTTTCTGGGAGCCATGTGAGGGGTGGGGAGGGTGCACCAGGATAAACAGAGTTGCAGGGCTCACCTTCCCAGAGCATCGTTGAGGGTGGAGGAGTGGTGGAACGAATACGAATTTTCATATTAAGAAGCTGGCACAATTCATGTAAGCTGATACGTGAGACCATCTCACACCCTAGACCCCCAGGGAACAAGCGCTGTCGTTGGACCAGGGACCTTTCAGTAGCACAGACACAGGCGCGAAGCTGCCTCTACCCCTCAATCCATGTGAAGAAAGGAAAGAAGTGCCGTTAGGCCTGGGCCCAGCCTTGCCTCAGAGTTTGTTCTCAGGAGCAATAATGGCCTGGCCAGGGCCCAAGAAGGCCAGCAGTGCTCAAGGGGCAAAATTATCTGCCAGCTCCAGAAAGAAGGATGGAGCTGGAGGCACAGGCTGGTCTGCGGCCAAGGCAAGGAGTATAAGGCTGGCCGCCCTTGTGGAAGAAGCTGGCCCTTTCTGCATTCAGCGTCAAATGCCCAGCAGGGCAGGCTTGGTAGGCCTTCACCCTGTAACAGGAGGGACTGAGAATCTGTTAACGTCTTTGGGTGAAAATGTCAGCAAAGTTGTAGTGAAACTGCAAAATCCCCATCACCTGTGTCTTCTGTTCCTTTTGAGCCTTGTGGGGTTTCTGCTGGCTCTTTGCTGTGGGTGCACCCCTCTACAGCAGGGAGCTTGGCTGAGGCATGCATGTCTTCAGGTCTCCAGGGTTGAGGCTTCAGGCAAGACCTGAGAAGCCAGAGACCCTCACAAGAGCTCTGTGAGTGGCAAGCGCGCCCTCTCTGTGGCCTTTGTAAACGGTTAAGGTGGCAGGAAAGAACACTCCTCCTCCTGAAGGAGGAGGCTTTGCCCTTCCTGTGAGCCACCTTGCACTGACTTGTGGCTGCCCCTCAGAGCCAAGCCTTATGACAAGCAGTCATGAGGCCACTCTCCACCTGAGGGCCTGGGACCCTCAGGGTCAGAACTGCAGCCCTCCCACCTGCCTGCCATTGACTGCTTACTCTCTGTTCAAATCATAAGAGGGCCTCAACTAGGAAGGTTTTTTGTTTGTTTGTTTGTTTGTTTTGTCAGGAAGATCAGCCCTGAGCTAACATCTGCCAATCCTCCTCTTTTTGCTGAGGAAGACTGGCCCTGGGCTAACATCGATGCCCATCTTCCTCTATTTAATATGGGACGCCGCCACAGCATGGCTTGACAAGTGGTGCGTCGGTGTGTGCCCCAGATCCCAACCGGCGAACCCCGGGCCGCCGCAGCGGAGCGCGCGCACTTAACCACTTGCGCCACCGGGCGAGCCCCGGAAGGTTTTTTTTTAATCTCTCAAGATGTGAAGTATTTGTTTACAGTATTCCACTTACCATGCAGCATAAAGAAGTTTTCTTTTAGGGCAGGAAAAGTAATGATTCCATTTCTCTAACTCTGTAGTAACGTGACCACGTGTGGCTGAAGTGGAGAGATGTAATCCTAGTGGCTTTTAAGAAAATCATTTTCTTGCTAATTGACATTTCTGTTGATGAAGACTGAATAAACAGCTATTCTTTCTTACTGATTGCTATGGTCTGAATGATTATGTCCCCCAAAATTCCTATGTTGAAATCTTAACCCCCAAGGTGATGATATTAGGGGGTGGGGGTCTTTGGAAGATGATTAGGTCATGAGGGTGGAACCTTCATGAATGGCATTAGTGCGCTTATAAAAGAGACCCCAGAGAGGTACCTTGCCCTTTCCACCACATGAAGACATAGCAAGAAGATGGCCGCGGCCGTGAGGAAGCAGGTCCTCACCAGACACTGAATCTACTGGTGCCCTGATGGTGGACTTTCAGCCTCCAGCACTGTGAGAAATAAGTGTCTGTGGTTTACAAGCCTCCCAGGCTCTGGTATTTGTCATAGCAGCCTGAACAGACTAAGACACTGGTCTTGCTGTGGTTCTCTGACAGTTCTTTTTCATAATGCTGTTGGTTCCTTCTAGACGGTGGGCTCCAGAGGGAGTCTGCCAGCAAGATCCTCCCTCCACACTTGGACTCGGGTGTCTTGAGGACATGGCCAACTGCCCTCAGTGTGGAGGACACTGACCATTCTGGGCTCTGGTTCTGTGCCTTGGATCTGTCATCTAACCCACCAGGAGAGCATCAAGAAGTAAAGCAGATCTGAGTTTATCCACATGCAAGAAAGGTATAGACGCTTGTGCAAATAGCAGAGAAGTTAGTTCAGGAGGAGAGAGGAGTCCCAGGAATGACCTCTGGAGACATCTCACATTCTCAAACTGAGGAACAGCCAACCAAAAAGAGAGAGAGCTTGGGGCTGGCCCGCTGGCGTAGTGGTTAAGTTTGCGTGCTCCGCTTCGGCGATCCGGGGTTTGCAGTTTCAGTTCCCAGGCACGGATCTATGCACTGCTTATCAAGCCATGCTGTGGCAGGCATCCCACATAAAATAGAGGAAGATGGGCACGATGTTCACTCATGGCTAATCTTCCTCACAAAAAAAAAAAAAGAGAGAGAGAGAGCCAAAAGGAAACGGGAACACAAGAAAGCAGGAGTGGGAAGGAGACGGATATGGAAATGGTTTACACACAGCAGCCAGCCAGAGGGACCTTTTTAAAACATCTCCAGATCACATCCTCTCTCTTTACAGCACGCCAGAGATTTGGTTACACCTAGAACAAAACCCAAAGTCCTTCCCCTGACCCACAGGGTCCTACGGGATCCAGCCTCCACCCCACGTCTCCTTCCTTCTCCTTCTCCCTGTGCTCCACCCTCAAGCCCATTAGGCTGGCTCCCACCTCAGAGCCCCAACACATCTTGTTCCCTCTGCCTGGAACACTTCTGCCCAGACCTTCCATAGCCACACACTCCCACCCCCCTGCTCCTACCTATATCCAGTCTCTGCTCAAGTGTTACCTCCTCAGAGAGCCTTCCCTGGCCTGTTGAGGTGAAATAGGTTCCCACACCCTAGAGCAGGAAGTGGAATCCTGGCACCCTCACATTCCCACACCAGGGACCCCCCCTCAGCTTTCTTTCAATGGAGCCTGGATCTCCCTGATTTTCCCTCATTAGTGTGGATGAACCTGGTCACCACAATGAGCTGATCTATTTCCAAAACAAAGAGACCTGCCTCTTTGGCCTGCACAGCTTGATTCAGGCAAGGGGGGGGTCTCCCTAAGTTGACTAAAATGTTGAAAAGTGCTGCCAGACCTCCTAGGAGTCCAGGGACCCCAGGCTGGGGACTGGCAGCCAAGTGGATGAAGGAAACTGGTTACTAGGAGGTGTTTAACAGGAACATTCCCAGAGATAAGAGAGAAAACAAAGACACATGGGGCCAAAGAGAAGAAGGCAGAAGAACCATAGACTGGGGGCTGAACTCTCCCTGGAATGCAAAGGGTGGGAGGGACTAGGGTGGAGCAGAAAGTCACCTGAGGGTCAGGTCTGAAAGAAAAACAAGGACAGCAGAGATGTCACTGAAGAAAAAAAAGACTAGAAATTGGGAGAGCTGGGAGGTCCCCACTACTAGAGTTCATTTTTCTGATGCAAACACAGTAGTGAAGTCAAAATGTAGAAATGGGTACACCCGCACGTCGTAGAAGAGAAGACCCAGGATGGACTTGGGGAGGGAGGGAGGCGGCAGACCGGAGCTGCTGAAAGGAAGGAGTGTTTGGCCAGGACCTACAATTTCCCCAGATTGGGACAAGGTAACCACTCTGCCCATCAGAGAGATGTCAGAGCTTCTGCCTGTAAAATAAACAACAATGATGTAAACAGAAATAAAAACGGACATAAATGATTTTGGTAACTCATTTGGCAGCAAAACCTGACCTGAACTGCCACGAGGCCATTAACAGTCTTTCTATAACCCAATTAGCCAATTGTTCACAGACATCACTGCACAAATATGAACGTGTTTGATACCAGATGCGGCTTGGGATCAATATTACTTTTCTGAAATCTGAAAAACTCTGAATTCAAAAGCACATCTAAGGGACTATGGGACTGTTGGATCTGTATTTTAGGGAGGTGGGGAGTTCTTTGGGGTCAGAAGGGAAGCTTCCAGCTGCCTTGGGCCCTGGCATATTTCCCTCTTTCCCTCCAGGTAGGTCAGTCACGACAGGCACATTTGTGCATGGAAGGAACTGGTGCTCCCTGCAGGAAGGGAGTGGATTGAGGCATTGTGGGCCCCTTCCCTCAGTCGGCCAGGGCCTGGAGAGAATCAGGATGAGCAGCGGGCAGCTTCTTTACTTTCCTCCGCTACCTTGTCCTCAACCAAACTAGCGGGGGAAATGCAGGTGAGGTCGAGGAAGCACAACAGCACTTTGAGTTAGGTTTGTGGCGGTGTGGTGTCACTTAGTGTTCACTTTACTTCGCGTACTCATTGATTCATGCATGCTTCATTCACAGATCAAACTTCTGTTGAGGGTCCACACAGACGCTCCGGGAATTCCGTTTGGAGGGAGACTGTCATGAATCTCAAATTCTTAAATAAGTGCATTAATCGTGGCAAGAGTTAGGACAGAAACGCACGGTGCTCCCTGTGAGCAGCTATCAGAAAGCTCGGTTGAGTGCCTCGGCCAGGCCCACAAGGCGAACGAACGCCTGGCGGGGTGGAGCACCGGGGACGCGCAGAGGGACGTACCCTGCCCCCTTCCTCCGGTCCAGAGGCTTTTGCAGCCGCCACACCGCCCCGCCCCGCTCTTGCGACGCCCAGCCGGGAGACGCCCGCTCACCCTGGCCTCGCCCACGCCGCTTCCGCTTCCGGCCGTGTGGTGGGCGGGGCTTCCGGTCGTCGGGGGCGGGCCGGGCCCGGAAGCTGCAGCAGCGGCAAGGGGATCTCGGTCCTGGCCATGGCTGCAAACCTGAGCCGGAACGGGCCTGCGCTGCAAGAGGCCTACGTGCGGGTGGTCACCGAGAAGTCCCCGACCAACTGGTGGGCGCCGAGGCGGGCCGGGAGCGGGCCAGGGGGGGGAGAACCAGGGGTTGCGGAGCCGCGCGGCCGCAGGTGGACCGGGGCTCACCTATTTGCCCCACACCTGTGCCACCCCCGGGAGGTGCTCTCCCCACCCTGGTCAGCCAGTGCCCCGCCGTGCGTGGGCGGGTTAACCCCGTCTTGGGGGCCCAGTGAGTCCCCAGCCCCTCCCCCTCCGCTGGCGTCGGGTCTCGGCTCTTCGGGCCTCCATGTTGGGTTCTGTGCCTGGCTCTGGTTGGTGGCTTCCCAGGTTCTCCTTTCCTGCCCGGGGACTTCCCTGGACGAAGGGGCCCTCCACAGCCCTCCGTGAGAAAGCAGAAGCCAGGCCTGGCTTCTTTCAAACTCTGTGTTGAGGAGTGGGCCTCGGAGAGCGGTCTGGCAGTCCGGCTGGGAATAGGAGCCTTGCCCGGGAGGCGTCAGACGAGGTTAAGGGTTTGATTTCTAGTTCTCTGTGAGTGTGGGTTTCAGAAACCTCCCTTTCTCGAAGAAGAATACTCCTTCCCGTGCCTGAGCTGTGGGGAGATGGATGAAACAAGGATGCTGGCTACCTGTCTTTAGGAAGGTCCCATCCTCCCTCCACCTCTCGTGACAACCTCCGCCAGGCTGTCAGTGGTTAGGTTCATGCAGTGGATGGAGCTTTATAGTACTGGAAGCCTGGATCTGAAGTCTCTAGGGTAGCCCTGGGCAGCCCACATGCAGGGTCAGCTCTTTGTTGGGCAAGCACTGGTAGCTATGCAAGGTAATTCTGTGTCACTTTCCCATTTGCTTCAATGGCTTTCACTGATCAGTTGTGAGCACTTCCAGTTCTAAGAAATGTGCTGAGTGTGATGAACTAAGGTGACCAGCTTTGGGGAGCCTGTTCCCATTGCTTGGCGCGGGGCCTGTTGTGGGTGGCTGTGCTGACGTGACTGGCTCATCTCCACTTGTCAAGTGCTGCTGCTTTCTCATCTGCTTTCTCTGGTGCCCAGCACAGAGTCGCTTTCATACAACTTACTATTGTGACACTGAGGATGCTGTGGCCTTCCTTTTCCTTCAGCCCTTGGCCTTTTGGGGAAGAGTTTCAGAACACCAGCTGCCTAGGTCTGCAGAATCTGCAGACTCGTCTTGTCTCTGGGGCCAAGTGGGTGTGGGCCCCCTGCATGGCACTTGTCCACAGTTTTGCGTAGGATCCAAGCAGCACATCCTCTGTTTGGAACGCTTCTGTTCTAATTAGGGATGGGTGTCTGGTAACTGGTAGGGATTCTCTGCCTTCTCTTTGCAGTCCCTCAGAAATTCACCGACACGTCAAGCACTGTTATTTCTCTAAGGAAAGTTCTAGGTGTCAGCCCTCCACCCTGTCTCTCTCCCATCTCAGAGGGCCCTTCGGCCTCTGCTGTTACTCCAAACCCTGTTGAAAGTCTCTCCACACTGAGTGTCCCATTTTCACATCCATGTGAGGCCACGTGACTTTGGAGCCTGGAAGCATCTTTGTGCCTTCCCAGTCCTGCCCAGTTAGGGGTCTGCTCCTTTATGTGTGCTTAATCATCTGGTGTAGCCCTTTCTGGGCCTCTTAAGGGGTCTTCCCTCCAGGTCTGTCTTCATCCTCAGTCTTTTCAGGAAACATCACTGGTTTGGGGATGATGTCCCGCAGCCCAGCTGGCAGTTCAGGCTTCCCTCTGCAGGCCTCTCATGTTTCCAGCCTGTCCTTGGGCTTCTTAACAGCTCTCTGCTACCACCCAGGACTCTGTCTCCCACAAGGGTGCTGAGCCTCCTTCCTCTCACCCAGTCAGAGCCCACCCATCTCACCAGCCTCGTCACTCTCACCCAGGCTCCAGAAGCATTTTGGGTCATACCACTCAGCAGCATGAACCCCTGGCCTCTGCCCTCATTGTCACAGCCGTTAAGTATCTCAACAGATACTGTGTGGCAGGTCCCCACTCACTAGCTGAAAAAATATCTAAACCGTGTCACTTCCCTGCTTATTAAACTCTGCAGTGGCTTCCTGTTGCACATTAAATACAGCCTGGACTCCTCTCTGTGGCTGACAGGCCCTGCATGGCCCAGCTGCTGGTCTCCTGGCCTGCCGCCCCTCCTGTTTACCACACTGTGGCCACACCTGTTTCCACCTCTCTAGCCGCCTTTCTCTTCCTCAAACTTGCCAGCTGGTTCCTCAGAGCCCTTGCTCTTGCTGCTTCCTCTCCCTGGAGTGCCCTTCCACATCATCCTGGGGGCTCCCCAAACTTCACTTCTCAACTCCGGGGTTGCCTTCTTGGAGAGGCCTTCCTCGCTTCCTAGCTGCTTGGCTGCAGTCACATCTTCCCATCTCCCTGTTTTACTTCCTCTGGACACATGCCAGACTCCTCATTGGTGTTCCTGTCTCCTTTCTCTCTTCACCAGAAGGGATGGGATATGCTCTGTGTCTATCCCCAGTGCAGTAGTTGCTCAGGTGAAGGATGGACTGAGAGGGGTACAGAAAAAGTGGTATACGGTATGCGAGCAAGAAGAAGTGGTCTCTGGTTGGGTGGATGGTACAAGGTCTCACGTGCAGAGTGGGTGGTATTGGGCTAGGCCTGAAGCCAGGTGGGGTGGGGAGCAGCCACAGCATCAGCTCTCCATCTTGGGTCTGTCTCTTGGTTCCCCCAGGTTATTCTTCCCCTAGATCATGGCAGGGTTGTTCCCCTCCTGCACCCACTGCACTATCTGACAGTGTGTTAGTGTTGATTTGTGTATTTCTTTTTGTCTCCCGATAGAAAGAGAGTTCCACGGGCAGGGCCTCGTAGGGATTCTTCATAGCATTATTCCCATGACTAGCAAGCAGCATGTTCTCAGTATGTGTTTTTGGAAGGAAGGATTGAATTATAAGGTGCTCCATACTCCTTGTGGTGTGCATAGGCTGGCACACCATTTTTTTTTTCACGTTGATTTGAAAGAAGTGTAGAACTCGATTGAATGTGGGCATGAGACTCTGAACTGGGAACATTAAAGAAGGTGGCTCAGGCTGGAGCCTGGGGTGGAGGGGTAGGCGGCAGGCACGCAGCATGTCTCTTAGTAGCTGCTGGATCCCTTCTTGGAAGAGCTGGGCCGAGCGGCCACCTCTGTCCCCTGCTGCTTGTCCAGTGTCCCCGTCTTCTGCAGCCAGGGTTTTGTAGCCTTCGGGAGGAACGGGCTTCTTTCCTCCAGAAGGAGGGCTGGCCAGGACTCCAGCCTCCAGAGTCTAGACATCCACCACTCCCACGTCGTCTATTCCCTGTGTCTCTGACTGTTCCTTTTGGTGCCTGTCCTTCCGTATTCTCTTTCCTCTCCTGGGAAGCAATGGTTCTTTCCTCGCAGCCTGTCCTCCTACCAACCGGATCACCTGGGCCTGGGTCTACTTTCTTCCTATTTTCTCAGGCGTAGGCAGCTCTGCCCAGTAGCATTAGCAAGGCCGTGGGGAAGCTGAGTGCAGGCTGATTTGGTTCCTGTCAGACTGTCAACCCTGGAGCTCCTGTCTGGTGGACCTCAGCAGGCCTGTGCTTGGAAGCACGGGGAGATGATGCACTAGATCCGGTTTTGCCTTTGACTCGCTGTCTGATGGATCAGCGTCCCCACCCCGTGGTCTGCCAGCGCTACCAGGAGCTGAGCTGCTGCAGAGGTGGTGCTGATGGCTGGGCTCTGTGTGGACTGCAGGGAAGCCACCTCTTCCGAATGTTCTCCTTGAGTAACTTTTGTTCTGGTCAAGGGACCTTTCATGGCCCAGATTTAATAAAATTTACCATATTTCCTCCATACTACTGGGGCAGAAGTGTATAAGCCCAAATCTTTTCCAGAGTTCTTATGAATAATTAGTCTTATAGGAGAAGAAAAGTGTGGCCCAGGGTCACCTGTGGAGAGTTAATGTTCTGCTAGATATAGAACTTGTCCTGTGAGGGGCCTGACTTCACGTGGAGTTGTGGCTTCTTATGCAACCTATAAAAGTCTGTGTTTGCCGAGCCCAGAGCCACCTGCTCCACCAACCCTTCAGGCTTTCTGGAAGGTGGAGCAGACATGCACAAGGGTGTTGGGCAGCCTTCCCAGGTGCCTGATGCACATATTCCTCCTTCCTGCTTCTCTACGGGGTGCTTTGGATGCAGTATCTTTTGTCTTTTCAAATTCACATACCTGGTAGCCAGGGGAGTATTTCACACACAACTGTGTAGAAAGTTGCCATAAAATTTTGCAGCTTAGTTTTCCTCTAAGCAGATGTATGCTCCCCATCTCCATAGGTTTGTCCTCACAACAAACCCCTGTGATAAATCAGGCCGGCCTCTTCTCAGCTTCACTGCTGAGAAGGTGTAGCTCTGGGAGGCCCAGTGGCCTCCTGAGACGCTGCCTAGTGAGTCAGGTGGGCCCATGTCGGCCCACAGTGTTACTGTCATGCTGAGCTCTTTGGGGTGCAGCGTGAAGCCTGGTGCGTACAGTGAGGGCAGACAGCGCCCCAACGCACTGGCTACAGAGCCTGTTTGTTTTGTTTCAGGGCTCTCTTTACTTATGAAGGCAACAGCAATGACATCCGTGTGGCTGGCACTGGGGGTAAGTATGACCACGTGAGGAAACAGATGGGCTCTCGGGCATCAGGAGGCAAGAGACGGGGAGGGAGTGTGAAGTGCGTAAGGAGAGAGAGTTGTGACAGTCCGTGCTCCATGTTGGCTGGCATTTCAGCCCTCACAGCAGGAGGAAGGGGGCTTGGGGCACACAGGTGTCCCTTGCATGTGGCGTGACTGTACTGACACCTCTCCTGGCTAAAGGTGAACCCATCTTACATTGCTGTCAATGTTGAGGAATTCCCTGGTCCCCTAATTGGGGTGTGGATGAGGCACAGTGGCTGCAGCCAGCCAGGCAGGACAAGGGGCTCCACCAAGCAGTGTGGGACCACCAGCACTCACGACTGCTTCTGACCAGCTTTGGGGTTCAGATGTTTCTAAATGAGAATAACACCTTGGCTTTCTTCGCCTGGTGGTACAGGGCAGCAGTGCTCTCTCTGTGTTGTATTTGAGGAGAGCTGAGATGAGAAACAGGCCGGCCCTCTCCAGCTCTCAGGCAGCCCATAGCCTGGCCCGTGCTGCATCCCTAGCTCTGGGCTGCAGCTGGGGGAATGGCAGTTCCACGGAGCTGGGTACTGGTGGAGGAGAAGAAGGTACAGACTCATCCTTCTCTCTGCCCTCTTCCTGGTGGGTTGAGAATACGCAGGGGCCCAACCTCACCAAGGAGAGGTAGCATCAGTGCACATGGTCAGCCGGGATGGGGTGACCTGGAAAAGTGCTACTTGAATATAGGGTGATGGGAGGTCCCTGCAGGAAAGATGGGCTCTCACCCGCCGCTGGGCAGAGGCTATCCGAGTGGTGGGCCAAAGATGGTGGTTTGTAACCCTTGATCCCCCGAGCTGATACCCCTGTCTCCTCCCTGTGCTCAAGGCCAGCTCGCCTGACATGAGTGACACAGCTTCGTTATTAAGTGGATACTCACCAGCATGTTCTCTGCTTGCCACATGAGTGGTTCTGGTGACTTGTTGATAGAAAGCCCTTCGCTCTTATGAGTGCCTCTCCCTGATGGTCATCTTTCTCGAAGGACTGCCACTGGCCATGGTCTCACAAGAGTTGCGGAGTTCAGCAGCCATGTTTCCTACCACTGTCCCCAGTGGTACTCACGAGGCTCTGCCCTGAGTGCCCAGAGCAGGGGCGCAGGACTGCCTAGGTTCTGTGGAGCCCTATAGCCAGAATCCTGAGAAAGCACCTCCTCGCAGCCTGAGGAGGTTTGGAGGCCTAATAAGAACCCCAAACTCTAGTGCGTGCTAGGGCCCACAGCCTCAGTGTCAGGGGAGAATGGCTTAGGGTGGCCTGCTGCTGTCCCCCCGTGACTCCCTCATCCTCACTTGGAGAGTCTACAAGCTGAGCCCATGCACTGCTGTGGGACGTTCCGTTTGCTTGGGACCCTTTGGGTGGCCCTCGAGTCTGAGCAGACACATGGGTAAGGGCGTTATTCCAGGGCCCTTTGTGGGGTCCAGGCAATGGTAAAATTGTCACAGAGACCCTCCATTTGAAACTCTGGTGCTTGGTTTGTAGCCAAAATGACATTTTTGTTTCTGGAATTACCTGTGGGTTTATAGAAGTGGTTTTTAGACTAGTGTGGGTAAAAATCACGTGAAGGGCTCGGCGCAGGTGCAGATCCTGGGTCCCACCAGCTCTCATCAGTCAGCTGAGTGGCGGCGGCCCAGGAATGGGCTTCTGCTGCAGGTGGGGCTGAGAACCTGGTGTGGAGGCAGCCTGGGTTTCCTTTCCTGGTGGATGGGGTGCCTGAGCCACCTCTCACTCTCTTTGTGACTGCTGCAGAGGGGGGCCTGGAGGAGATGGTGGAGGAGCTCAACAGCGGGAAGGTGATGTACGCCTTCTGCAGGGTGAGGGACCCCAACTCCGGCCTGCCCAAGTTTGTCCTCATCAACTGGGTATGTAAAACTTGAGGGCTCCAAGTTTTCGTCTAGGCGTGACTCAGAAAAGCTCCCTTTTCTTCTTTCCTCCTTTGCGTTTCATGACTGGAGCAGAGGAGGACTTGACTTCAGGATAGCTTGGTGAATGAACAGAATAGTGGATTAATTCATTGTTGCCCAAAGAATACCTGGGGCCTTGCTATTGTAGAATTCAACCTCCAAGCCCAGAATTACTCCTGCAAAGTGGGGTACAAACCATCACCCTTGTCTTTGTCCCCTTCAGGGTAGTCCTCCTGAGGGAGCAGAGGGCCTGGAGAAGGGCTAGGAAGGCAGGACAGGGGCTCTAACAGAACAGAACCACTGGGTGGGGGCTAGGGAATTCAGAGGTGACCCCCCACAGTGGAAGCTGGTGGCTGTCCTGCCCCAAGAACCTCCCTGACTTGGAGGTATGGGACTCACCTTGTCCTTTACTTTGAGGATGCAGTTTTCTCTTTCCTGGGGCCCAGAGAAGCTGCCGAGTCCTTGGTGGGGGCAGTGGCTTAGCGAGGAGGGCTGGGTCATGTCCGGGAATTAGAGGGTCATGCTGGGTGTGTTGTGTTGCAGACGGGCGAGGGTGTGAATGATGTGCGGAAGGGAGCATGCGCCAACCACGTGAGCACCATGGCCAGCTTCTTGAAGGTGAGAGCTGCTCCCTAAGGGCCTCAAAGAGTTCCTCAGGCCCCAGGGTTTCTGGGTGTGAGTGAGTGGGAATTGCAGCCAGAGTTGGAAATGTACCCCACATCCCGGTGCTCCATCTGGACTTCAGGGCATGACCAGAGGCTGCTTGACTCTTGCTCAGCAAGTACTCAGGAGGCCAGGATGTGGCCAGAGCCACCTGCAAGCTGGCCTCAGTGGAGAAGAAGGACAAAGGACCACGAGGAGGACTGTGCTGGAGCTGGTCCTGGGGCAAGGCTAGGCCTTGGGTTCCATTTGTTTTATGAGTACTGTAAACACTTAGCAGTGTTGTCAGTGTTTGGAGGAGAGGGAGAGTTGTTTGTGCCCAGCACCTCAAACATGCATATTCCCTTTGATACGTCCCTTTCCGGTCTGGTTCTGTGTGGATTTATGTCAGTCATCATGTAATGGAACTTTGTTGAGTTTCAAAAGAGGTGTTTTTTTTTTTTTTTTTTTGGTGAGGAAGATCAGCCCTGAGCTAACATCTGCCAATCCTCCTCTTTTTTTGCTGAGGAAGACTGGCCCTGGGCTAACATCCATGCCCATCTTCCTCTACTTTATATGGGACGCCGCCTCAGCATGGCCTGACAAGCGGTGCGTCAGTGTGCACCCAGGATCCGAACCAGTCAACCCCGGGCTGCCGCAGTGGAGCACGTGCACTTAACTGCTTGCGCCACCGGGCCGGCCCCTCAAAAGAGTTTGTTGTTCACTTGTCAGGTGACTTTTTGCATTTCTTTGGTTAGTGGCAAGGAGACTTGGGACTTTGATTTCTGGTTCTGCCAATATTTCTTCAGATATGCCTCAGTTTTTCCAACTAGGAGCTGAAAGAGGAACCCAAGTTTATTGGATATTTGGTAACAGTGAGCGAGGTCATGGTCTGACTTCTCAGGAAGAAATAGGTGGCTTGCTTTTTGTAGAAAATGTGCTTGTTTCCAGATGCCGTTTAAGGTTAGTTTTTATCCATTAGAAAGAGGCCCTTTAGGGGCTTACCCTGTGGCCTAGTGGTTAAGTTCAGCGCACTTCGCTTCAGTGGCCCGGGTTCAGTTCCTGGGCACCGACCTACACCACTCGTCGGCGACCATGCTGTGGTGGCGACCCAGATACAAAGTAGAGGAAGACTGGCACATGTGTTAGCTCAGGATGAATCTTCCTCAAGCAAAAAGAGGAAGATTGGCTACAGGTGAATCTTCCTCAGCAAAAAAAAAAAAAAAAGAGCTATCTGAGCTCTTTCTTTAATGCCTGAGCTACCTACTGAAATGCAGCACCACAGAACAAGTCACAGGGCGGTGGAACGCAGGGGCCTCACACACGAGCTGTCAAGTACGAGGGGTTTGCCTTGAGGTGGTTTGTCTGAGGCCTTAAGGAGAGTGTGCCTTGGTTCCCAGCAGGGTCTCCTGACCCTTAGCCCTGTGCAACCGTTGTCTGTGCTGTACAGGCTGCAGTGGGCAGCCTGTCCTCTCCTGGAATTGAAACGCCTTTCATTAATTGCTGCTCCCGCTGCAGGGGGCCCACGTGACCATCAACGCGAGGGCCGAGGAGGACGTGGAGCCCGAGTGCATCATGCAGAAGGTGGCTAGGGCCTCGGGTGCCAACTACACTTTCCACAGGGAGAGCGGCCGCTTCCAGGACATGGGCCCCCAGGCCCCAGTGGTGAGTGCTGCCTGGGCCCAAGGCGGGTGGGGTAGGTGAGTGCAGTTCCCAGCGTCCAGACTGGCTGGGTCTGCCCTTGGTGCTTATCCCTTGTGGGGCTGGGCTCCCACCTGCCTGGCTTCCAGTCCCCACCCCTGGATCGAGGTGCAGATGGTAACTCTATGTCTGACGGGAGCAGGAGCTGCCTCCTGGTGAGGCAGGTGCTAGTGGGCATGAGGAGCAGCCCCTGACTCTGCCTGGTGCTTTGACCAGCTGTTCTGGAGCATCTCATGTGGCTTTGTGTGGTCAGAGACTCTCTGCAGGGACAGTTTAGCACCCTCAAGGCCATGGCACCAGCATGTCCTGCGTGGCCCTGGACAGTGGCCGCTGTGGAGGAACTTCAGGTGGCAGACAGGGCAGGCCCTTCCAAGTCGTGGGCAGACAGCTATGGGCCTGTGGCCCGGGTGCTGGGTGGGGAGCCGAGTCCCCCGAGGCACAGCTGGGGTCTGTGGAGATTCCATGGGCACTGCCTTGGTGGTCAGCTGTCTGAGGCTGGTGGGCCAGCCTCATGGGAATGGCCCCTGGCTTCCATCCCCAAGGGCTGGTGCAGCCACAGAGCCTCCAGTGTTGTCTGGGTTGAGCTTCTGTTTGGCCATTTCCAGGGCTTTTCAGGCCATCTTGCTATCAGTCTCTTTGGGGGTCACTGGGCCAGTGCCGCTGCCTCTGCCAGGTGCCAGCCTAACGGTTCTTGACTGCACTCTGTGCTCCCACCAACAGCCCTGTAGTGAATCCTCTGTTCCCCGCAGGGCTCTGTGTACCAGAAAACCAACGCTGTATCCGAGATCAAAAGAGTTGGCAAAGACAGTTTCTGGGCCAAAGCAGAGGTGAGTGCTGCCCGGGCACGACGATGATAGCTGGCATTTGTGGAGCATCTCCTATGTGCCAGGCAGGTAGTGAGTATTTTACTTGCTTTGTCTCAGTTTTTCTTACAATAAGCTTATAGAGCAAATCTTGTTAGCACCTGTTTACAGATGGCCAAACTGAGGCTTAGAGGGGTTAAGTAACAAGGCTAGTGAGTGTTGCTCTGGAGCGCACGCCTGACTGTGCTGCTGTGCAGGCTGCCTGGGCAGGATGGGGCAAGGGCAGCGCAGGGGCTGAGCGGGGTCGGCGGGCGCGGCTCTCCCTGCAGAAGGAGGAGGAGAACCGCAGGCAGGAGGAGAAGCGGCGGCTGGAGCAGGAGCGGCGGCAGCTGGAGCAGGAGCGGCGGGAACGGGAGCTGCGTGAGGCCGCCCTCCGGGAGCAGCGCTACCTGCAGCAGGATGGCGAGGCTGGCCCCCAGAGGTGAGGCCCCAGAGGAGAGGTGGGTGGCTGCTGCCTGGGGCCTGCCTCGGGGCCTTCTCTCCTCCCTGGGAGTCTCCCCTGGAGGCAGGCCGGAGTGGGCTGGGGCTGGGCTGCAGCTCTTCCCTCTGCCCTCCCAGCAGGAAGTATGAGCAGCAGGAAGTGGTTTCGAGGAACAGAGAGGAGCAGGTGAGACCTGGACGCTCCCCCATCCAGAGGGGCCAGTCACAGTAACTCGTGGGAGTCCCCGATCTGCTGGGGCTCGTCCTGGACGGGCCCAGAGGCTGCCTGCTGTGAGCCACGACAGCCCTGGGCTTCCTTCTGACACACGGGCCCAGCATAGCGGGCCTAAGGGAGGGGGTTACTGTGAGGATCCTGCAGCCAGCTCGGACAGATTAGAATTGGGGATACATGTTGGCGCATCAGAGGTGGCAGTGGAGGGGAGAGTGAAGGGCAGAAGGTCAGCCTGGCCTGGACCTCAGCCTGGTCGTAGAAGAGGCCTGTGAGCCCCTTGGCTTTGGGGTTTTGCTTCCTGGCTCCCACCACCCCCCGCCCCAGCTGCGGGGAGCCAGGCGGGCTGATAGGCTGCTGGGTCCTCACGCACTGCTGGTTCACATGTGCTCCCCCAGGAGCCTGTCAGTCAGCAGCCAGCACACCCACGGGAGATTTTCAAGCAGAAGGAGAGGGCCATGTCTACCACATCTATTCCCAGCCCTCAGCCAGGTGAGATGTCTCTCTGGGCCTAGCCATGCGGCAGGGCAGGCAGGGGGGAGCCTGGGGTCCCCCGTCCAGAGGGCCCTCTGAGGTGGTGACAGGTGGGTCAGAAGTTGACGGGCAGGTGAGTAAGGAGAGCCTGTGCTCATGAGGGCAGCCTCTGGGAGGGGAGCCTGGGACCCAGGTGTCCCTTTCTACCCTTGACCTCATCCTACAGAGACCTGGTGGGAAAGGAGGGACCATGTGTGGCTCCAGAGTGGAGACCGTCCAGCCCTAGCCCTGTAAACCCTGGTACAGCTCACACATTGGGCTGTCAGCTGGGTCCCAGGGGCCTGCATCAGTCACCTCGCTGGCCCCTAGAGGACACAGGATTGCAGTTGCTGCTGGCCAGCCAGCTCTCCCATACTGCACATGGCCCCCGAGGGGCTGCTTGGAGCATACTGGTGTGTGTGTGATGTGTACACACCAGGTGGTGGTCTTGCAGCTGCCGCATGTGCCCGTATACCCCTGTGTGATGGCCGCTATCCCAGGACAGGTCCACCCTCTGGGCAGAGCACAGAAAAGGCGGAGACTGCTTGTTCTTCCCCCTTTCCAGTTGCATGATGTCCTGTGTGTTTACCATTGGTTTGCAGGCAAGCTGAGGAGCCCTTTCCTGCAGAAGCAGCTCACCCAACCAGAGCCCACCCTGGGCAGGGAGCCAGCTCATACCACCTCAAGGCCCAGGGCAGGCAAGACATGGCTACCCCTTAGGGGGGTGTGGGGGGGAGCCAGGGGATGTTCTCTCCCCTCCCCAAGGTCAGAGCAGGCTTTGTCCTCCCATGCAGATCTTCGTGAGGAACCGGCACCCAGTGCCCCTCCGGGTCCAGTGCAGGAAGAAGAGGAGGCTGTGTACGAGGAGCCCCCAGAGCCGGAGACCCTCTACGAGGAGCCCCCAGTGGTGGGTTCCCTGCAACAGAGCAGGGCTGCAAAGGGGTTGTGTGCCCAGAAACACCCTCGGCCGTACGGATCGTGGGATGCCTGGCTTTTCCTTGGCTCACCACATGTGGATGATCTTGTACAATTTTGGAGCAGCCCTGCCCTCCACGTGCCGGGCCCCTTTCCCCAGGCCTGCTGTCAGGGCTGACCACAGGCAGGGCCGAGTTTGTGGTAACCAGGAGCCCAGACTTCTCTTCTTCTTTCCCGTCCTTGGGCAGGTGCAGCAAGATCCTGGCTCTGAGCACGTAGACCACTACCCGAGTCTGAGTGGGAAAGGGCTCTGTGCCCGGGCCCTTTACGACTACCAGGCAGGTAATGTGTTGCGGCCCAGCCCAGCCCTCAGGCCCAAGATCAGGAGATAGGGTTCTGGGGCTCCCTTGTGGGGACAGTCCCAGACAGTGTTAGAAGAGAAGACAGGAGAGTGAGAGGGGAGAGTGGGGTGGACAGCCCAGACTGCCGCACATGCTCCCAGCAGCTACTTGCTGTCCGCTGGCATGAATCTCAGTTGCTAGCCTTGTTCTAGAGCCTGAAGGTATGACCAGAGAGGTGGGCCAGGACTGGACACTGACGCCCCAGGTGACCCTGGGTGGTTGCCTCGGGAAGCAGGCTGGTGTGTGGAAGTACTGTACTCCAGCCTTTTGCTGGAACAGTGGGCCCAGAGCGAGACCCTGTAGGAAGCTGTGTTCTGAGAGCAGCATCGGGGACGGGCTGGGGCTGGCACCCAGAGCCCCAGGGCCCCCAGCACAGCATCTGGGCTTACCCTCCTTGCAGCCGACGAGACCGAGATCTCCTTTGACCCTGAGAACCTCATCACGGGCATCGAGGTGATCGACGAAGGCTGGTGGCGTGGCTATGGGCCGGATGGCCACTTTGGCATGTTTCCCGCCAACTATGTGGAGCTCATTGAGTGAGGACCCTCCACTGCTGGCCAAGGCCGAGGCCCATCTTTCCTTTCCCCACCCTGATGCGGTTTCCTTATTGCTGGGGGAGGTGGTGTGAGGGTTGTGTACAGCACTCTTCCAGGAATGGAACCCCCCCCCCGCCCCACCGCCATGAGGACAAGCCCTCAGGCTCCCTCTGGCCTGGGTGGCTCAGCCTGTCACCCCAAATGCAGCAATAACCTGGTGATTCCCAAACATGCTTCCAGCAGCCTCCCAGGCCCTCCCAACCAGTCTGGCCTTGACCCCAACAGAGGACACTGAGCCAAGTCCCGCCCATGACCAGCCCCTTGGTGACCTCTGCCTGAGGAGAACAGCACTGCCAAGCTATGGAGTCTGAGCAGGGGCATCTAGAGGCCTCCTCTGCATTTGCCTCTTTTTCCTTTTCCGCTTGGCTCTTAAGGGATGGTGGCTACAGCATTTGGTGACCCTTGGGAACAGTGAACTTAGCAGAGTTTATGACCAATGTCAGAGTGGGTCTTGACAGTTTGGGCAGCCTAGTTCATTTTTCTGGGTCCTCTCTGCTCCCCGTTCTCTGTCCCTCTGCCTGGGCTGTGGGCAGTAGGGAGAGGGATGACCAACCCCCCATCTGAGTGGGTTAAGGAAGGTGTGAAAACATCAGCAGACACGACGTGACCTTCCGTGTGGCTCACTCTTGTCTGCTGGCCCATGTGTGCCTCTCAGCTGATTCTGGTTCAGGAAGAGTAACCAGAGTGGCCTGTGCCTGCTGTCTTCCCTCTATGTCTGTCCCAGCCCTCACATTTCTGCTTTTGGAGTAAGAATTGCCCCACATAGGCCCCAGCTCTCATCCACCCAGTTGTAGCCTGAATGCCCCCGAGTGGAAACAAACCCTTTCCTGGGTATCTGAGGTGTGCGTGCGCCTCTGGCCGACCATCAGCCACCTGGAAGAGGCATAAACGTTAAGATGTGATTGAAGTCAGCCTCCTGCATTTCAGTTCTCTGAGAGGGGCTGAGGGCTGCCCTGCTCCCTGCTGTGGGGAGCCTCCACCCATGTGGGATGGAGCGTGCGTGCATGCGTGTTTGGAGTGAGGTGCCTGGCACTCGCTGAACGTCTAGGGAATTACAGTTCCTCCTATGCCCTGGGAGTGCTAGGTGGAAGTGGCTTGGGGTGAAGGCTTGCTGAGGAGGCTGCTGGCCCCAGGTAGTGGCCAATCCCACTGCCCCTCCCCATCTGGTAGCAGGTGGCCCGTCCTGTCTGCCCCTTAGGCAGAGCTGCAGGCAGGCCTCACTGTCCTGATTTCTCTCCCATGAAGATGACAGGGCTCACCCCAGCTATGGAGGCCCCATGAGTCAGGTGTTGCCAGCTTTGAAGCCAGCTGTGGGCTTGTCTGTCCCCAGACAAGGGGATGCCAAGGAGGCGGGGCTCAGGGTACCGCCTTACTCTCCCCACCCTGGGGCTGCAGGTACAGCAGAGGACAACCTGTCTGAAGGAAGCTGGCCGTGAAATGGTGTCTTGGCTGCAGTCCTCGTTCACCATGGGGAGGGCTGGGTCACTCGGACACTCCCTAGGTGAGCCTAGGCACCCTGATTCTAAAGCAAAGTTACCAAGTGGCTCTTCAGCCTTGGGTGTCACTATAGGGGCTTGTTAGGAGCTGCCTGATAGCCAGGGATGGGGACCAGGCTCCTGCCCCTGGTTCCTGGGGTCCCCACACCTAATGGGATGGGCTGGGCAGGCAGCAAGGGCCAGGCCCCCTGGGGCAACATTTGTGGAATCCCAGGCGCCAGGCCTGTGGAGCCAGCCCTGAGTGAGCGCTAGATGGTGGGTATCTGCCAGCCCACGTACCAGGCATACTGGGGCCATGCTGGATTCGAGGCAGTGGGTGGAGGTGCTTTTATTGCCAGAGCCCACCCTTCACTTGGCCTTTCCCTGGGCGGCCACAGCCTCCATGGCCTTCCGGACAGTCTCCTCGTCACCCAGGAACTGCATGGGCTTGGTGGGCTTCAGTGCTGCATCCAGCTCATACACGATGGGGATCCCCGTGGGCAGGTTCAGCTCCATGATGGCCTGGTCTGACATCCCTGGACCAGAGGAACAAGGTCCTTAGCCCCTCTCAGCCTGTCCACCAGGCAGCCACCTGCTTTTGTATTCAGCTGGCTCCATGACCTTTATGGGCCACAGAGCTGGTCAGCTGGCAGCAGACCCCCACCCCTGACAGCAAGGCCACAGAAATGTGCGTAAAGAAGGTCAAGGCAGAACTGAGTAAGACAGAGCGACCTACGGAAATAGCCATGGTAAACCAAAGATCAAGCCGTGGGGACCTGGGCTGGTGCCATCGGTCTCAGCCCAGTGTCAACTCTGGGCAGACCAGTGGATGTTTGGGTTCAAAAAGACATTAGACGTTTGGTTTCTAGAGAGTTCTAAATTCTAGACTTTTGAGCAGAGGAGCAGGACTGCTCCTGAGAAAGGGAGTGGAAGAGGAACAGTGAGAAGGGCCGCCCGTGGCTGAGGTGGACGGGAGGCTATGCCAGGTGGAAAGGGCAAGGTTTCCTGGGGAAACCCGACCCTGCCAGCTCCTCATCCACTGGTCTGGAATAGCAGCTCGACCTTTAGTATTCCCGTCACCCTACCCCCCTTGGTGCAAGGAAGGCTTAAGAGAACCTTCTCTGGGCAGTGGGAGACCCCAGTTCACATTCGCGTCGGTGCATGCTTTTCTCCCAGATGGAGCTGAGAAGCATGTGTGCTGCAGGAAGCCCCCAGAAGGGAGGGGCGGAAGATGGTTGTTCCATCTGCTGGGCTCAGGGCCTGGTGTGAGGCGTCTGTGGCCCTAGCATCCTGGGGAGGGCAGACTGGGGCTGGCCAGGCTTCAGAGGCCTGCTTGTCTGCTTTGGTCAGCTGCCCGTCGACCCCCAGGAGCAGGAAGTTTGGGGCCCATCACCCTGCTTGTCTTCCCCTTCCCACCATCCCAACAGGCTTGAAGGCCATTCAGATGCAAACCTAGACTGTCCAGATGGCTGTGAAAATCCTGTGGGCCCATAGAACTGTCTCAGGTGCTAGTCAAAGGAAGCAAGTGGAGGGGCCCAGCAAGGGAGGGTCTGCCCCCTGCTCTTTAGTGGGAGTCCTGCTACCAGCCTGGAGTGAGCGGGTGAGAGCTGGGTTCCTGGGAACCAGAAGGGACAGGGCCCTGCCCCGCCGCCCCATATCCAGCAGCAGGCAGTACTGGGAGGAGCCCCATGAGGCCCCCATAGCCCCAGAGGGGGTGGTTGAGGCCCAGCGAATGAAATGACCTGACCAGGGTCACACATCAAATGAATTTGGAGCCAGACAGCCGAGCCTTTTCCCAGCTGCGTGTCTTTGGGTAAGATGCCACCCCTGAGCTTTCCCACTTCTCGCCTAGGGCTCATGTTGGGGAAGCCGGTTCAGCCCCACGGCCCTCAACCCCTGTGCAGGACCTGGGCCCTGGGTCAGTGGTGGCAGTGTTTTTACCCACAGTCTTCGGAAGGGAACTGGTTTTACATAGTGTCCCAGTACGTACACAGAAATGAAACAATTTTACAAAGCAGATTTTTAAGTGATTTCTCAACCCTCCCAGTTCAATTCAGTTTGAAAGCCCCACCCCGGGTGCTGACATCTGCAAATCTACCTCAACCAGGCAGCGGGCACTTTGCTGAAATGAGAAGCTGGGGGCTGGCTGGTTCAAGGGTGTGTGTCACCCCACCTGCCTCCACCCCCACCCCATGGGAGGGTGGGCCTCACCTTCCAGGTGCTTGACAATGCCCCGCAGGCTGTTTCCGTGGGCTGCGATGAGTACTCTCTTGCCAGCCTTGATCTGGGGGGCGATCTCCTCATTCCAGAACGGCAGGGCCCGGGCGATGGTGTCCTTGAGGCTCTCGCAAGTGGGCAATTCCCCAGGCTTCAGGCCTGCGTACCGACGCTCCTGGGGGCATCCACACTGCTATTCCCTCCCCAGACAGCAGCCCCGTACCCGGGCTCATCCCTGAGGCCCCCACCCCCAGGCCTTCCCTCAGGTGCCCTGAGCAGCCCACCTTGCTGATGGTGCTGTAGTAGGGGTGCTTCTCATCCATGGGGGGTGGTGGAATGTCGAAGGAGCGCCTCCAGATCTTCACCTGCTCCTCCCCGTGCTTGGCGGCCGTCTCTGCCTTGTTGAGGCCCGTGAGGCCCCCGTAGTGCCGCTCGTTGAGACGCCAGGTGCGCACCACAGGCAGCCACATCTGGTCTGTGCCATCCAGGATGGTCCAGAGGGTGCGGATGGCCCGCTTCAGCACTGATGTGTAGCAGATGTCGAACTCCATCTTGGCGTCCTTGATGGCATGGGCCCCCCTCTTGGCCTCCTCGGCCCCTTTCTCACTCAGCTCTGCGTCGAACCAGCCACAGAAGCGGTTCTCCTGGTTCCAGGTGCTCTCGCCATGCCGAACTATCACGAGGCGGTGGGTGGGCATGGCGGCGGCGGTGGGGACTGTGGCGGGCTCTGAACAGGGACAGCTGCCTCCCAGGCGCCCCCAGCTTTATAACAATCTGTCCCCAGCCCCCACCCTGGCCAACTGCCACTCAGCATTCCAGGCCAGACAGGCGGCGGCAGGTGGCCAGTAGCAAAGCTTTCGGGGGGAGGGCAGGCTGAGAGCTGGACTTAAAATAGCTCCGCCAGCCAGCAGTCCCCACAGGCCTAGAGCTCAGACTGGGTGGGGCTAGGTGGGGCTGCTGACCAGGGCTGGGCATGAAGGGCAGAAGTCAGGGCATCTGACAAGCCCTAGAGGTGGACTAGCAGGAACAGAGGGTCTCTCCATGGAAAGACTCCCCTTGAGGTCATGGCTCCCAGCCCCATCAACCCCTCCCTGCTCCCTGGGGGCCTGACACGCTCTCAGGCAGAGGCACAAAAAAATCCCAGTTGATTTCTAGTCACTCTTAACACAACTTGGGAGAAGCTTGCATTTCAGTAAGGAAACTGGCCTGGTGTCAGGGGGAGCCAAGGGACGTGTGTGTGCACGTGTGTGTTTGCCCATGCACATGTGTGTGTCTGTGTTTGCGCGCACACACGTCTGTTGCATGTGAACACGTCGTGCATACATGTCCATGTTGCACGTCTGTTGCATGTGTGTGTGCATATGCTTGTGTGTGCACGTACAAGTGTGTATCTGTTGCATGTGTGCGCACATGTGTGTGCATATGTGTGAGCTGCCAGGAGGTTCCCCCAGCGGCTCTGCTCTGTTCACCCAGGAGTGGGGGGCTACATGTTGGCAGGGGGCCTTCCTCAGGAGTCCCAACACCCCTCATGTCCCTCTGCCCTAGCCAGCTCTCTGCTCCAGCCCTGCCCACAGGATGAGCCCTGCAGGACACTGGGGCTGACAGCCAGCCTGGGAGGGGCTGCAACGTCATCTCCACTAGTCCCAAAAAGGGACAGAGGAGGGGAAAAGGTCGCTGTGGCCAGAGCCAAGGGAGCAGGTGGGGGCCATAGCCCTGGGGAGAGAGGTCTGGCCTTACAGGAAAGGGCACCAGGCAACAGTGTGGGCAAGGGGCTGAGGCCCAGCTGGATGGAGCTAGGTTTCCAGAACAAGAGGGGGAGCTGGAGGCCTGGTTGCCTGGGCCAGAGGAGAGCAGGGGTCCCTTTCTCTCTTCTTGGGTCTCTTTGTTGAGTTCTTATTCACATCTGCCACATTCTCCCACCCTACGTGCCTTCACCCAAGCCAGGCTCATCCCACCCAGCTGAGACCACCTGTAAAAAGAAAAAGAAATCTAAGATTCATGCCCTGAGGGACCTGCAGAATCAGAGGTACTGGTTGTTAGGTCCATGCCCAGCTTGGCAGGAGCACCTAGAGGTAGGCTGAGGTTAGGGCTGGGGACAGTGTGGAGTTGGGTCCAGGCCCAGGACTTCTGCACACAGGTTTTGGGGGACAAGGTCCACTGGGGCAGGACTTGTGCAGAAACCAAGCAGAGCCGTGAGGTCAAGATGCCAAGTCAC